AAAGCATTGCCCAATCTTTTTGTTTTGTGGTCATCAGAAAGCAGTCACCAAGAACACAATTTTCGATAATTCGGTTTCTCCGAGACAATGGCATACAAAACTGATCTGAAACCTGTGGAAATTCAATTGATAACATTGAAATTGTGAATTGTCGGTCCTCTCAAACTTTTTATCTACATCACAAACCAAATCTTCAGTAATCAGAGAAGGTCAGCCAGGGCGTGGCTCATCATGCACATTAACCCGCCTATCCTTGAACGTTTTCACCCATTTTTGAACTTTACTGTCACTCATAGCATTATCACCCTAAACTTCACAAATCTGACAGTGAATTTCTGCTGCTGCCAAGTTTCTTGCACTCAAGAATTGAATAACAGATCGTATCTCACAGTCGGTGGGTGACTCAATTTTCTTAAACATCATAAACTTTTACAGCTCAGCACACAGACAGACAATACAGCTGCAAATGGTGTCTAAATGCGCACAAAGCATGCTCGGAGCAGACGCACATACACACTACTGTGATCGCACGTTATTTACACTCTCATTCACAAACGGACCTTATTTAAAAAATAGCCCTCGTATTTGTTTTTGAAATTGATATTATTTTGAAAATTGAAATAGTTTAAGTATTATATTTACAAGTATCAAATCATTTCAAAAGTTCTATATTTTATGTTTGGAAATGTCTCGTATGAAAGTATTTTCATCTTCAATCATATAACAATATTTATTTTGTATTTTCTATTATATTAAAATATCTGACATTACTATTATAAATTTATTTAATAAATAAATGTTAGTAAAAGACACTAAGAGTTTCTACAAGTATCAAATTTGAAATAGTTGCATGAATCTTATTGTATATACAGGGTATATACTGTACTTATAATATATACATAATACATTACCATAAATATATCCTTTTGTGTGTATTGTTTCTAACAAATAGTTTTAATATCCAAGATTTTTTTACATAATACAAAATTTATCTTATTTAAGATCATACAAAATTTTTATATGATCTTTTGATTTGAAAATCTGTTCAGGTGGATCTAAATGTAATTTGATTCTCAGCAAATATATAAGATAGTTCAGTATAGATGTTATCATTGTAATTTTAAATAAAGAAGAAAAGTTATTAACAAAATAATTTAAAGGGGAAAATCAATAGAATTTTATTTTTCGTAGAACCAATGATATCTGAAATCTAAATATAATAAACAAAAGTTTTTAATTTTATCAACAGGAATATATTTCATAATAATAAATATTATAAACTGCTAAAACATTCAGGATCCTTTGGCTCATTTTTCTATAATCTGGTTCTAAAACATAAATATATTATTCTTAACACTAGCATTCAGGTTATAATAATGAAATACATCAAAATTTGTTTACTTTCTAGCTCATATCATGGTATTTCATCTTATAATTATTTCATAAAGTTTTATAAATTTTTATGTAAAAATAGAAAAACATTTAAAAGATTATTAAAGCAGAACTTTTAAAATTATCTAAAGATTTTTGTTAAAAATTTTATAGTACTATAAATTTGTTAAAAATCTTATTTTGACAGATATAAACATATTCAATTGTTGTTTAGATTCTATAGAACCAGCTTATTTATGTTTTACAAAACATAAATTTTTAGGCTTTGAGCATGGAATCTAAATTCTTACGAGTATCTTTAAATTTTAAATATCATTAATTGATAGTATTCTAATCTTCTTAATTTAAATTGTGTTTAAATTCTCAACAAATATATATTTTGTATGAAGAGCACGTTAATTTAAATTTGACAATAATAAATAATTTAAAAAGCAATTTTTGTAATAAAAAAATTCAAGTTATTTAGAGATTTCTGCAATTTTTATATCTTGACTATAGATAATATAAAAATTAAGTATTGTATATGCTATTCTATGTTCTTTCTTAAATCAGGTGACTTTAGTCTTAAAAGACAGATTATTATTATTATAAAATAGCCTAATTGAAGCTTAACCTATCAACTTGAAAACATGTCAAGGTCAACTTGTGAAGAATGATCATATACTGTAATGTTTTATATTATTTATTTACTTAATGTATTGTTAATTAATACGAAATGCATAATTTTAGTATCTCTAAGAGTAGCCTATCATATTTAAAAGTTATAAACTTTTAAAAAATTAAACTTTTTCTATTTGCTTATGCACTACTATTGTTAAATGGTATTTGAAATTCATCTACATGAAAGATATTAAATTTAAATGTGAAATAATTAGAAAAAATTTGATTTTCAAAATTATCATCAGATAATGTATAGCCTTTACTATTATATGTTTGTATCCTAAAAATATTCACAAATTTCAATAGCATTTTCCAGTAATTTTGAATAATTGCACATGCACACAAGATAGCATTTCTGAAATGTTCTTGATTCTATTTATCAAAAAAGTTTACATAAATAGCCTTTAATTTTAAAAATAGAAGGATTAAATGAAGTCAATCAGAGAAATGTAATTCACAGACTTTATACTGAAAAAATCACAAAAATAGTAAATCAAATACAGTTAAACATTTCTCTGCAATGGAGTTCCACAGCATACAGTGTATAGCATATAGCAGTGGTTCCCAACCTTTTTTCATTAGCGTACCCCGTGACATGTCATATCTCTAGATTGTACCCCGTGACATGTCATATCTCTAGATTGTACCCCTCATTTAAGAAATTTAGTGAGTAACCGTATTGNCTAATAATTTTTTAATACTATTAGTTTGTGATACATAATATATTATTTTTTCTGCCATAATAACTAACTTCTTTCTGTACCCCTAAACAACCTATCGCGTACCCCTAGGGGTACGCGTACCACAGGTTGGGAATCGCTGGCATATAGCATTATTTCAAGGTTAGAGCATAAAACTTCTACAGAAGCTGTGTGATGGAGTCTTGAAGGCATCCATCTTGATGTGGTTATGAATGACAAATATTTTACTTTTGATGGAAGTATATGTGCTAGTAACAATCATAATTTCACCAAAGAATGGATCCTGAAATTTTCATTGAAGCTTCTGGTTTGGCTGGTATTCAGTCCAAAGAGGCATTCACAGGCTTTTATTGCCTCATTGTAACTCTCCATCATCAAAAATGTGTTTGGCAACAAATGCATTCTTATAATACCCTTCCTAAAGAACTACTACCCTGACCAAGGATATGTCTTCTAGCCTGACATGGCCATTAGACTCATGACAATATTGCCAAGTTGGACCATTACAGAATTTGATACATCTCCTGTGATACCAACTAAGACCAATTGAGAGTTTGGTACCAACTGAAGCAAAAAGTTCATGAAAATGGTTGGGAAGCTGGGTCTGTGAAGTAGTTGGATGACAGGATCATGATCAAACTTTGTCACTTCAAAGTTGATCACTTCTGGAGGCTAATGGAACAGGTTAAGACTAAAGTTTGAATTGCAGCCAATTGCAGTCCTGATCTTTTCATCTTAATGTTAAACAACCTATTGTCCCACCAGTGGCCAAGCAGTCTTCATTCCCTGAACACTGAGAGTTTGGTCATGAGTTTGTGCCTCACTCAGATGGGATGGCCATGTGGAGTTTTCCAGGTTTTCTCCACATCTGTAATGCCTAAATAGGGGTTAGTTTCCCTTAAAAAGATCTCCTGGAAGGCAGATCGCCCAAGTGTTGCATTGCCACAACTAACTAACTAAACAAACAAACAATAAACAACCTATCTGTACCCAAAAAAACTTATTTTAAAATAATACACAATGAATTTCAAATGACTTTGAAATTTGTGTAGATTTTCAGGATACATGTCCTTACATTAACATTTTCTTGAAAAATACCTTAACATAATTTAAAAGTAGGATGGAATGATTATTAATATTTCTTTGGATACATTTAAAATAAACATAGAAACTAAAATATTTGATGTGTAATAAAATAAAATGCTGATAGGTTTAAAATCAGTAAATACATTTTTGTGATTGTTGTTTATACAGTAAATTTTGATATTTCAATTCAAATTTATCAAAATAAATATGAATTGATATAAAACATCAATTCAATAATAAAAAAAATATGAAAGTACAGATATTTTTCCCCTAAATTGCTAAATATAATTTGAAATACAAATTAACAAGTTGTAAAATTGAAATTCTTTAGTGTGAACCTTTGTTAAGTAGTACAAGTGTAAATAAATAAATACATTTGAATTTATAAATGCTTTTTATATTTAAAAAAAAAACAATCATTCCATAGGAACTAAAAAGGAAGTTTTTGAATAGTCCTATATAAAAATTATGATTTACATATCATTGTAATTTTAATTTAATTTCTTTAACCCATTATCTGCCAAAACTTTTAAATCTATTTTTCTCTTAATTATTGAAATTTATAAGTTTGAGTAAAGGATATTAAATGATTAAAACAAATTTCAAACAATTAAGTATATTACTTAAGGAGTAACAGACAATCCCATTTTGGAACAATGGCAGAATACACTGTCTAAAATATTAGAATTGATGAAATTATTTCTACACATTTAACATATAAACCTTTAAAATTAATTAACTAAAGAACAAGTTCATTGCTTTTTCTGATACTCAAAATAGTTAAATTCAACACTTTCATATTATGTACACTTTAGGGTGTGTGAAAAGCAACAAAACACCTATCATGGAGTCCAACATTACATCTGCTACAAACTCTTATGCATTGTGCAAGAAGAAGACTACATCTTCTCTGTGTGCCATGTGGCACAACTAAATGATTTCCTGGATCAAGTCTTACATCATTGGGTACTCTTCCATTCAACAATCTACTGCCTTGAGTTCCCGGCATTTTGGTGTGGATCCTGTGTTTGTAGATAAGTAGAAGATGACTATTCTTCTTCGAACATCCAGAAGTGATATCTTCTCATGTGGATAGGCTATCTGGTATGCACACCAAGTATTTACTACACAAACATCCAACATTTGTGTGAACAATGGCCACTACCATTTTTTAGACCTTACACGTATTCTGTAGAGGGAGTCTTGCTTGTCCAATAAATCTACATCTTCCATATGTGTATTATATTCTTGGAAGAGTTTTGGCATTGGTATATTTATCTCTTTCTTTTTCTGCTGGGAGTATCTTTTAACAGAAGAAACAGGCGTGATAGCGCTGAAATTAGTTGCAATGCACACTGGTTTGTTGTCTCTCCATTTCACCAATAAAATTTCATTTTCTTTGTCGAACTGGTGGTCGTAAAACCCACGTTCCTTCTCTTTTTCCATTCTTTTGGAGTTCATTAAAGGACAAGATTTACTGTGAGTCTCTCTGATTGTTCCTGCAGCTTTCAAATTCTTCTTTGCTAGTGATGCAAGTGTATCAATACTTGTGAAAAAATTGTCAAAGTACAATTTGTGGTTATTGCAGTTGAACTCTGGAATTATGTTTGTGAGCTAATTGATTACTCTTGTGCCTAAAGGTCCATCTTTGTTCTCATTCTTCCCACAGGGTGAATCATCATGTTTATCACTAGGGGTAATGAGTTCTAAAGTACCTGCAACATCACGCACAACACTATCTGTCAATGTATTTTCTTCAATATCTTCTTTGTCTTTTAATTCGTCTGGAGGAGGCGGAATAATCGTCAACTCTAAATCACTCATGTCATCCTCGTCTACTTCATAATTATCATATTCTGTCAATGCTTCTTTGATTGTAAGTCCACAAGGCATGATAATCATTATTATGACTCTAAAACAGGAAGTACAGGTAACCCCCATATAACATGGCACTTCTATAGCACAGATTCACTCTAACACAGTTCAAGAATTGGAAACATCCCCATATAACAAGGTGCTTTTATAGCACGAATTCATTCTAATGTGGTTTGAGAATTGGGTAAAACCCTTGTACAACATGAAATGTAATAAATTTTCACATAATTAAGTACTAATTAGTACTTCAGTATGTAATTTTCTTTTCCCGCCTTCTGTCGATACAAATGGTCCTTCTTGAAACTTGTCTCAGTGTTGCCAGATCCCAACATTTCTGATTTTGGTGTTGCCATATGTTTTTCCCTTATTCCATGCTTGCTTTATTCTTCATAAGTGCTTAGCACCATATAAGGAAATTTATAAAAATCTTTTAACAATCTAAGCAAGCAATCTAAAATAACATATATTTTGCAAAAGGCAGAGTGTGGATCTGAAGATAATGCAGAAAAATGCTCAGAGGATAAGGATATCTTACCAAAAAGAAAACATCCTCGGTTAATAGTGCTTAGTGATGACAAAGAAAACATTGTTTAATTTATAATAATATGTATCACTTAAGAAAATTTTAATAAAGATATTTATCTTAATTATGAAAATATAATAGCACGTTTTTTAATTTTTGGAACCTAACCCCCCTTTTCGTACTAGTTCTTTGTTTTGTATAACACAGATTCGCATAACACAGAAATTTTTTGGAACATAACTCCTGTGTTATATGGGGGTTACCTGTATATAAAATAATTTGTTGGCTAAATTTAAATCAGTAATGAAGGTTTGATATAAGAAAGAATAAAAATATATAAAAGCAATTTATAACTCATTATTTCATGAAAACAACAAAAATGTATTCTATTACACTAGTAGCCCAGTACATCTCCTAGTAGGTGTTCTAGGCATTCCATGACAGATTATAGATATACAAACACTGGCATCAATGGCTTATATAAGTAGATGGTAAACTTTACATGAGAATAATTGCTATCACGTTCTGCCAACATCCTAATATTGGGACACTTAAAATTATGTAATATTACACTTACCTATAACATTCAAAATTCAAACAACACTTATGAGGACATCAACAGATTATTTACCAACACAAATCTTGAAATAATATAAATGCCATTGTTGTCACAAGTCTAACAGATGTTTTTAAATGCTGCCAAATGCAAAAATGAAAATTATGCAAATTCCAGGAACTGCTGACAACAATTAAATAAAAAGAAACAATGTTTATTAATTCAGACATGAACAATGAAGTCCATTTAACAATATTATATATAGATTGATCTTAAAACTAGCAAACTTTCTAAAAAATGAATTAAAAATGTAACGTCTCAAAAAAAGGACAATGGCAGATATGAGTTAAAATGCATAAGAACAGTTCAGATTATTAATATGCAGTGAATTTCTATTAAAAATATTAAATTTAATATGATTTATTTTCAAAACCATAAAATGAAATACAGATTAATGCTGAAAGTAATTATAGATGGAATAAAATTAAATCTAAAAGAAGTGCAATTCTGTAATGGAAGAATAAAAATAAGTTTGTAAATAATGTAAGAAAAGTCCAAAGTTAAATATGAATGTGAAATGAGTAAAACAAAAGAACTTTCTTTCATAGAGAGTTCTTACAATAGACACATCAGCTTTCAAACTAGCAAAATGAGCATTCTTTAGCCATCATATCAGTTGCATGATAACTGCATGATAAGCAAGACTTACAGGTTTAAGTCTACTCTGGGCTGATTCTTCTCTTTCAGAATATTCTAAATTAAAATTTATTTATCATGAGATGATAGATTAACCCTTCTACTCTAGTCAAATTTCTGTTTTGGATTATTAATTAGCCTTAATATAGTCTAATAAAAATTTAGTTGATGGTTTGGTATTGAAGTAAATAAGTATCCCTCATATAACACAGTAGTTACGTTCTGAAAAAAACGAGTAGTTATATGGTGTGTTATGTGAATCTGTGCTATATGTATCAAAGGACTAGTGCAAAACATAGGGTTAGGTTCCAAAAGTTAACAAAAGTATACTATTCTTTTTGTTACTAAGAGAAATATGTTTATTAAAGCAATAACAATTAAAAGTACTGTATTATGCATTAATATTAATTTTAGTTAAATGAGGGTGTTTTCTTTTTACAAAGTAGCTCTTCATCTGAGTGTTTTTTGTTGATCTTAATCAGAAATATCAGCAATGTCTTATTTTTATTTTGTCATCCATAAAAATTTTATGGTAAAAATTAAAAAAAATGTTAATTGAAAATTTGTTCTAGTGGGTCACATTTGTTCAGTTGAGTATGAAGTGATTTTTTTCCAGAATTTGTGTTCGAATACGGAATTGTTCAAGTCAGAACAGTTTGAATACTGAGATACCACTGTATTTCATTTGTCGTTTTTATGAATGATTACTTACTGATGATTAAAAAAGTTAATAACACTTACCTAAAAATGTTTAAATAAACTACTAAATATGAAGATTGTCACTATGTTTTGTTTTTACAGATTAGTCTTAAATGCTAAAATCTGAAAGTAATAACATTGAAACTGGTTGATAGGAGAGCTAGGACAAGGAAGAAAAACTTGCACTATCAGTTTTCATTAAAGTAAACCTGACAAAAGGCACAAAACAAAATGAAAATTTCAATATTCTAAAATCAATGGACAAATTTGAGATAACCTGCATGCTTACTTGAATAAAAACAAACATTTAAGTGCAAATTCCTTTATTAGAAGTTGTGAAATTTTATATGGAGAATTTCCCAAATTCTTGAACTGTGTTAGAGTGAAACCATGTTGTACAGGGGATTTCCCAATTTTCAAACTGTTTTATGAAGGATTCCTGTACATTAAAATATTTTTAAAATCTAACAGGAAGTTTGTTTAACTAATGTTTGTAGTATTTTAATTATTAAATGAACTTTCCACTAGAATTTTTATATTTTATTGG